TTTTGTACCTGATGATGACAAAACCTTGTCGAAACGTTGAACATTTCCTGTTATGTTAAACTTATATTAAAGTTTTTCTTCATTACCCATTCAAGCCGTCTCCAACCATTATTGTTTAAAGTAACTTTATTCCATGGAAACTTGATTTACATAAATGACACGATTTTGTATTATTTAAACAGCGCTTCGTCAAATCTGCACAGTGATGGTATAACTTATATATAATTTACCATCATCAAGTTTACAGTGATTTATACGTAATAGCAGTAAAAAATTAATTTACCACCATCAAGTGTTTACAGTGATTTATACGTAACAGCTGTAATACATTAATTTATCATCATCAAGTGTTTACAATGATTTATACGTAATAGCAGTAAAAAATTAATTTACCACCATCAAGTGTTTAGAGTGATTCATACGTAACAGCTGTAATACATTAATTTATCATCATCAAGTGTTTACAATGATTTATACGTAATAGTTGTAACACATTAATTTATCATCATCAAGTGTTTACAGCGATATATACGTGATAGCTGTAATGTATTAATTTACCATCATCAAGTGTTTACAGCGTTATATGCGTAATAGCTGTAATACACCATCATCATGTTTACTGTGATTTATATGTAATACTGTATTACACTAACTTACCATCATCAAGTGTTCACCGCGATATATACGTGATAGCTGTATTACATTAACGTACCATCATAAAGTGTTTACAGTGATTTATAGATAATAATTTACCATTAACGAGTGTTTACAGTTTAAGTCTTTACTGAAACATCTCGAAAACAACAACTACCGAAGAATTCATAACTTTTCATCGTAAGGACAAATGTTACATCAACACAGCTGTCAACTCACACACACAACACATACACTTGTTAAAAGGGGAAGAAAACCAATGTTTGAGCTTCTACTGTTGACCAGAGTCTTGGATTAATCATTAAATTAAAGAGTGCGGAGTCCAGTCCAAATAATGATAATAAATGTGTTTGAAATAAACAGTGCGGTGTCCAGTGCACATAATGATAAGAAATGTGTTCGAAATAAACAGTGCGGTGTCCAGTGCACATAATGATAATAAATGTGTTTGAAATAAACAGTGCGGTGTCCAGTGCACATAATGATAAGAAATGTGTTCGAAATAAACAGTGCGGTGTCCAGTGCACATAATGGTAATAAATGTGTTTGAAATAAACAGTGCGGTGTCCAGTGCACATAATGATAATGATAAGAAATGTGTTCGAAATAAAAAGTGCGATGTCCAGTCACATAATGATAATAAATGTGTTTGAAATAAACAGTGCGGTGTCCAGTCCAAATAATGATAATTGTCTAATTGTTTCGACTACAACTTCTAAAATTTTGTTTCGTTGTTCTACGTAACGAATCAAAACCATGTTTAAAGTTCAATTTTTAAAATCATTTATAACGGAGAGAAAAAAACTCGTACAGCTTTCGATCGGTGGTGAACTTTCACAAAATCATTAAATAAAACTTTTTGATGTCAGATCTTAAACGTTGTTTTTTCTTAAAATCGGTTTATAAATAATAGTTAATTATAAACATGGAGTGTAAAATCACTATTGTGAATAAAGATATACATTTGTATCGATAAAAAAAATGAAAAACAGTGAACCCTTTTATTTTTAATGATTGAAATGCTGTCTTGTGACAGACTGAACCGATCGTGTAAATGGTACGTCTGGAATTAAGTTTGTCTTTTTATCGTTTCATTCTAGGTGCATTGTTTGCTTTACGATTGTTTGGCCCTGCCCTGGGATTCCTTCTATCTTCAGCATGTTTAGGAGTTTACGAAAATCCTGGGAGTAAGTAACCACCTCAATGAAACAAGACGAAATATTCAAAATAATCGAAAAATTAAAATACTTTCCAGAAATACACAAAATATAAAAAACTAGAGTTAAGGCTGCAGAGACCAGTTTGATATTTATGTTAAATCATAATGACCACTATATATGGGTTCGAGATTTATGGTTATGTAAAACAAATCAAGAAAAATACTATCAGGGTTAGCCATATTTCAATAGCTATTACTGAAGTTTTCTTTTATTATCAGTGTTAGCATTATTTTATTAACTACTACTTAGGTTTTCTATTACTATCGGTATTAGCCTTATTTCACTAGCTATTACTGAGGTTTATTAGTATAAACAGTATCAGCCTTATTTCTATAGCCATTACTGAGGTTTTCTATTACTATCAGTGTGAACCTTATTTAACTAGCTATAACTGAGGTTTTCTGTTACTATCAGTATTAACCTTATTTCACTAGCTATTACTGGGGTTTTCTGTTACTATCAGTGTTAATCTTATTTTCATTAATAGCTACTGAAATCAAGCTAACAGTGAGAAAACTAGAAAACATCAGTATTAGCTATTGAAATAAGGCTAACAATGATAAAACTAGAAAACCATAGTAATAGCTTGTGAAATAAGGCTAACACTGATAGTAACAGAAAACCTCAATAATACCTAGTGAAATAAGATTAACACTGATAGTAGCAGAAAACCCCAGTAATAGCTAGTGAAAAAAGGTTAATACTGATAGTAATAGAAAACCTCAATAATAGCTAGTGAAATAAGGTTATTACTGATAATGAAACAAAACTTTAGCAATAGCTATTGAAATAAGGTTAACACTGATAATCAGAGAAAAGCTCAGTAACAGCTAGTGAAATAAGGCTAACACTGTTGAAAACCTCAGTAACAGCTAGTGAAATAAGGCTAACACTGATAGTAACAGAATACCTCAGTAAAATCTATGGAAATAAGGCTAACATTGATAATAAAAGAAAACTTCAATAATAGCTATTGAAATAAGGCTAACACTGATAATCAGAGAAAAGCTCAGTAATAGCTAGTGAAATAAGGCTAACACTGATAGTAATAGAAGACTTTAGTAATAGCTAATGAAATAAGGCTAACAATGATAGTAACAGAAAACCTCAGTAACAGCTAGTAAAATAAGGCTAATACTGATAGTAACAAAAAACTTCAGTAATAGCTAGTGAAATAAGGCTAACACTGATAGTAACAGAAAACCCAAGTAATAGCTAGTGGGTTTTCTATTACTATCAGTATTAGTCTTATTTCACTAACTGTTACTGAGGTTTTCTGTTACTGTCAGTGTTAGCCTTAATTCACAAGCTGTTACTATAGTTTTCTAGTTTTATCATTGTTAGCCTTATTTCCATAGCTATTACGCAGGTTTTCTGCTACAATCAGTGTTAGCGTTTTTTCACTAGCTGTAAAAGAGGTTTTCTCTTACTATCACTTGCTGTTACTGAAGTTTTCTATTACTATCAGTGTCAGCTTGATTTCAGTAGCTATTATTAATGTTTTCTCTTATTATCAGTGTTAGCCTTATTTCATTAGCTATTACTGAGATTTTCTGTTACTATCAGTGTTAACCTTATTTCACTAGCTATTACTGAGGTTTTCTGTTTTGTTAGTGTTAAAACTATTTCATTAGCTGTTACTGAGATTTTCTGTTACTATCAGTGTTAGCCTTTTTTCACTAGCTGTTAAAGAGGTTTTCTCTTACTATCACTTGCTGTTACTCAAGTTTTTTATTACTATCAGTGTTAGCTTGATTTCAGTAGCTATTATTAATGTTTTCTCTTAATATCAGTGCTAGCTTTTCTTCTCTAGCTGTTATTGAGGTTTTCTATTACTATCAGTATTAACCTTATTTCACAAGCCATTACTAATGTTTTATTTTACTATCAGTGCTAACCTTATTTCATAAAGCTATTGCTAAGGTTTTCTGTTACTATCAGTGTTAGCCTTATTTAACTAGCTATAACTGAGGTTTTCTGTTACTATCAGTATTAACCTTATTTCACTATCTATTACTGGGGTTTTCTGTTACTGTCGGTGTTAACCTTATTTCACTAGGTATTATTGAGGTTTTCATATGCTATCAGTGTTAACCTTATTTCAATAGCTATTACTGAAGTGTTCTGTTCTTATAATGGTGCTAGCCTTATTTCCCTAACTATTACTGAGATTTTCTTTTACTATCAGTGTTAGCTTTATTTCACTAGCTATACTAAGATTTTCTATTCTATGAGTGTTAACATTATTTCACAAGCTATTACTATGGTTTTCTAGTTTTATCACTGTTAGCATTATTTCAATATCTAATACTGATGTTTTCTAGTTTTATCAGTGTTAGCTTGATTTCAGTAGCTATTGTTACGTCTCCGTTTGTTAATTAACTTTCCGTAACTTCGTTCCGACGAAATTTTAA